AACACTTGACTTTTCTTTCTGATATTTCCATGAACTGAGTGTCAGGGATGAAAATGTGGGTAGCATGCTGGAGTTCCCAGCAAGCAAAATGCAGCCTACAGCTATGAAAACTACATTTCCTTCTTACCCGCTGAGTTCTTGTTTTAATAATTTTTCAAACCTCCTCCTTAGGTAGCTTGCTACTGGTACTTCAAAAAGCAAAAAAAAAGGGAGACATTTAGCAGGAAACAGTCTATTTATAAGGCATTTTAGACATTTTCCCATTGTTTATGGTATACACTGATGAGTTTAAAAATGTCATTTCCTTCCCTAACAATTTTTCTCTTTGCTTTGATAATCCATAAGTAGCAGCGTAAGTGTTTACACAGCATTTTGCATGCTTCAAACCAAGTGGATGACTTTCCTTATTATTCAAGAAATTATGGACACAAAAGGAAATGGGAATTCAGTTGCTCCCAGTGAATGAGGTTACAGCACTCTGCCTTATGGATGAGGATTAATTCTAGTCCCTGCAAAATTAAGGTATCTTCCAGTCCTGTGGACGACAGAACAGCCAGGGAATGGTCCTTCACATTTATATTCTTCCCAGTTCCTGTTATGGTTGCATGATCATAAGACTTAACACTCCCAAGAAACAGTGACTTGCCCTCTTCTTTAGCTGAGGACTTGGTAGGATAGACGCAGGGCTGGCCACAACCTCTAGCCTCCACAGAGTGTATCCTGTTTCCCAGAAGTCACAGCCTTCTGGGTCTTTGAGGAATCTTTTGTTGACTCAAAGAAAAGGGAAGGAAGGGTAGGATATCAGAATGCTGGCTTTTACCACAGCTCTTTGCAGCAGGAGTTGCAGGTGCTCTTCAGAAGCTGACTAGACCTATACCTACCCACTCTTTATTTACTACCAACAGAAGGCTTAGCAATTGTACAAGAGAGAGGAGTCATAAATCCTGACAGTCTAGAGTCAGAGGAAGAAAAAGAAGAAACATAAAGTAATATTAAGTCAGTAATGGTACTATGTTATCCCACTGAGATGGTCCATCTTCTGGCTACCTACTACTCAAATGGAGGTAAAGACATCCTGGAAAAGTTCAATCTCAATAGATGTGACAGATCACAGAGGATGACAAGTTTGATTTGATTTGCAGGCATAGCAATGTGTTAAAGGATAGGTATTAGATGCTTTTATAGTCAGGAAGGATTGAGGATACAGCATTTAAGTGCTCTGCCAAGGAACATGAAAAAAGTCAACATTACAGTGGTGATGCTGGTAGGAAGGTGAAACTGCTAGACCACGTAATCTTTTCTGCTAAAGCAAAGCAGTACCTTATTTTACTGTAAAGAAAGCTGGTAGCATTGTCAAACATGTAGTGTTTTCAACCTTGCCTTTTCCACTGTTTGTCCACTGAAACTGCATGTGGTCTGTGTCTCATTATCCTTACGGTTGTTGAGTTTCTATGTTCATTTTCAGCTAAGAGTGATTTGGATCAAACAAAAACGCTAGGAAATACTAGCGTGTGACATTTATATCAAAGCCTCTGTATGTATTTCACAGTGACACTGTTCTTTCTGAAGAGTAGATCAAGGGATTGATGCTTGATAGGGGAATGGTCTTGATGTCAAAAATAAGTTTTGGTGTTCTTGCAAACATCTACCTAAAGATAGTTCAGTTATAGACCTCGAAAAATTGTAATTCATATACACTTAGTAGCTTTGCAGAGACTTTGTAGGGCTTAATAGCTATATTGTCAGTAGATTTTTTCGTTCCAAGTATTTTTGTTTGCTTCTTGGCTACAGGGGCTAAACAGATTTTCCTTGAATTGCTTCTTTTGTGTATTTAGTCTTGGTGGAAGGGGGGCTTTGAGCACAGAGAATATCTCTTCTGTCCTCTCAACTGCTCATCGTCTGATCATCAACAAAGACACAGGCAATGCAGGGGAGAATGTAGTGAGATGGGGGGTACCAAGCCTAGAGATGGGGCACTCTGACAGGTGACCAGGAACAGGCGTGGGTACGTATCCCAAAGGCAGCTCTGTAGGTCAGACTCCTTGTATCTCCTCACCATCCACTATATGCTCCAAGTCATGCGATTGGGAGGCAGCTCTGCCTCAACTCAGTTCCATGTGGAAGCAGAGACAAGTTGCTGAGGAGGTTAAGGGGGAGGAACAAGCAGCAGGAGGAGATCAGTGAATCTCCAGATCTCAAAATTACATGCTAGTGTTGCCATCCTCCAGTTGGGCATTTGGGTTTAACTCTTCTGGCATAACAACAAATCAAACTGCATCTTGCTTGTCACAGAAAACAAGGAGAAACATGAGCTCTGCTCATCCAAAATCTGACATCCAAAAGACTAGCCTTCTCGATCGACTGTCATAGAACCATAGAATGGTTTGGGTTGGAAGGGACCTTTAAAGGCCATCTAGTCCAACCCCCATGCAGTGAGCAGGGACATCTTCAACTAGATCAGGTTGCTCAGAGCCCCATCCAACCTGACCTTGAATGTTTCTTTGAATGTCCCCTCCATTAGATGGTTGATCTGACCTTGGATGACTTTGAATCATGTATTTCTTGTGATGAGGTTTCCTTCTTGAAGCAGTCCAAGTGGATTCGAGTCTGCTAGGACTTTTTTCCACAGTTTTTAAATAACCCTTTCCACTGATTGGTGAGGCTTGTTGGCTAATAAGCCAATATCCCTTTTGATTTCTTTCCAGTTACTTTCTGCATCTAGCCTGTCTAGTTTTGGTTGTTATGGCTAGAAATAGCAAAAACATGGCTAGCGATCTATAGCAATCAAACTGTAGAGCAGAAGGAAATCATTAGTTCTCTTTTTTATGTATGACCATACACAAATGCTACCTACAGTACATCTCCAAATTACACATCAATTTTTCTGCGAGTTACAAAACGTGAGTCCAATGCCTAAGAAAGACCTTAGGCTAAAAGCATACAGCATACAAAGCATTACAGGTTTTTACAGGAAAAATAAAGATCTAAAAGAAGATGGAGTTTCTGAGACACCGTGCTTTTTGTTTTGTTTCTGAAAAGCAAAGGCAAGTTCATAAAAACTATACTTAAAGAACATTAAACTTACAAAGGTGAGCTCTTATAAAGAGGGAGACACCTGAATTAAGGCTGCTCTCAATAGTCATCTCGTATGAAGAAAAGTAGTGGTTCACAAATGATAAAACAGCAACACAATTTACTATTTATAAAATAATGGCATACTGTGCTATGATAAAACAGGTTATGACCATAAACGATAGTAAAGAACTAACTGGGAAGAAAATTTCAGCCCTGTTGGTACTGGGCAAAAGAAGTTATCCAACTTTCTGTTGAAAACAATCTTGGGAATTCCACTGGAAGGCCGGGAAGGATATTTGTTAAACAACTTCATTGTGGTCACACGGATCAACACCCTTTATGGTGAGATACCCATGACCACGCCCAACACATGCACTGCTTTCTGGGATGGCATTTTATCAGGCTTGGAAGATAGTTCTGCTGGGAATGTTTTACAGTTAGTGTAAACAGCTCCAGCTTATGCATGTGAAGGATTTGCATAGCTATGCAAGTCAGTGAAGAACAGGACTCAGACATTATCCAAATGGATCTGGGTAAACAAGGCCTGCTCTTTTCAGAGAGAACTTCATCAGCGTGTCAGAAACCTAAATATTGCTGGAATTTGTTGGTGGCAGAGCATCCATCAGTGGACCCTGTAGTGCAAGGATGAAGGTGGCACTGAGCCTGAGACTGTTCTCGGTGAATTTATTGTCTCTATACTACAGATGTAATACCATACAGAAATAATCAATTCCTCTGGCACACTTTCATCTGTGCAGTGCACTGATTGGGAATAGGAGTGCTAGAAGGGAAGAAGTGCTGAGGAACATATCATCTCCCAAGATGTTTCAAGGCTGAATGCCCCCACCCATGCATGTCCCTTTTCCGATGTCCTCATTGGTGGGCTTTACAAGGCAGCTGTTCGTGGTGGTACTGGACAGGTGAGTGGAGGTGTTGGAGAGGGGAAGGAAGTATACTTAGGGCTGGCTTGTGTCCTTCTGATGTTACTGCCGCAGTCTAACGTAGGCTGCAAGATGCGGTGCTTAAATTCGGCACAGGACTACACCACAGAACAAAAAGAATGAGCAAAGATAAAAGATAGAAATCCTATCTGCTAGGAATCAAAGATTACAAATCCATTTCATGTACACCACCAGACATCCATTAACCAAAATGTTTTTTTGATTAAAACGATGGGCTGTCTTTGAATCCACAATAGGAAGATGAAAAGCTGCGCGGTCCCTTCATGTTTTGTTTTTGTTTTAGCGTATTTCTTCCCAACATTACAGTATCAAGGAGAGAAAATGAGGACACATCCCAGACCCACTTCAGAAAAGGGATAAAATAATCAGCTTTCATTTCTCCTGGGTTTACAGAAACTTGTAAGAAGCAGATTACCTCTCAGGAATGGATTCAGAGATGCTTTTTTGGTCACCTACCCATAGCTGCTGTACAGCATTATTTAGGATAATCCGCAAAAGAGCGATTAAGAAAGTCAAAGAAACCATTTTATGAAACACCTTCTGCTTTCATGGCTAGTAGCTCTCTTTTTTCAGTTCTGTTTATAAGATTACAGTATCCTTCTGCTTCCATAACATCGTGACAGGTATGAATATTTACTAACTAGTATGGTTCTCTGATTCATTCTGTACTTTTACTAATAGTGGATACCTCAGACATTGACCAAACTAATCCACATTCTCTGCACACCGATCCTTGATTGCAGAAGAACTTTGCTAAACAGGATGGCTTTAAACCATATTTTAATAGAGAAGTGAGCTTCTTATGCATTTGTCACATTAGTCCTAAGCTGAATATGTTGCACCGCATGCGGAAAGAGATGGTTCAGTCCTTAACCTCGTTTCCCCACCTGCAGTGTCTCCCATCCCTGTTGAAATAAAATGTGAGACGCTTGAACTCTGTACAGCTTTTCTCTCTCGTTTTAGACATGCCTGTAGGCCACTGCCTGGAGGAATCCAGCTTTGTCATCATTGTCCTTGACGCTGAGGCTGAAGCAGCGCCCAGCTGGTAAGAACGGAATTGAAATCCCACCTTGCCTAGCACATGGGCACTTTGATCTTTTCACTTTGGGCACTAGAAAGATGTGACAGATCAGTCGATTAAATTTGCAGGAGTTTATGTGCTTCAGTGGAATCACAGAGATTATCCCAGCTGGGACTGAGTCAAAACATTTAATCCAACTTGGTAAAATCAAGTTTTCAACCAAGATAAAAAAAAAAACAAAAAAGTAAGCCTAAAGCTTGGCTTTTATCTTCAAAAGAATAAATGTTTCCCTAATGCACTACTTATTGCAGACTGCAGTGAGGTTTCTTTTCACATCCACCTGTAAAAGCACCTAAATTTTGTCACCCAGCCTTTCTGAATTTTGACTTTTGGACTGACTCTTTGGTGAATCTGCTGACTCCCTTGCTTTCTTTTAAGTGTTTTTAGTTATTTGGTAGCTGGGGAGTGGATGTCTGCTGCGATCACTGTTGTTTTGATTGCGCCCACTGAGAAAAGCGGTGGGGCCCGCAGGAAGCCCCTGCATGACAGTGAGCAGGGCGGGAAATTGCTGGGAACTACTTCTTACCTTGCCCAAACCGGCCAGATTGTGACAAGTGGCATTTCATAAGGTTGCTTGGGTGGCTCCTCCAGTGGCTGATAACTCTGTAAGGATGACGGCAAGCACAGGGCTTTTCTTTCCTTCATTTTTTAACGTCAACTGATGTGTATGTGCTGATAACAAAACGTTTGGCTGTACAGCAGTTTTCATTTGGGGATCCTCAAGCTATCTGTTTACTTTTATTAGCAAATGTGGGTTGCTTTTCTCCATGGGGGTTACTTTTATCAACCTGTTTTAATAACTGACATCCACGGAGCAACCAAGCTCTGTTATCACAGTCTGAAACTTCTGAGCAGTTGCCCTTAGCGTATGCCCTCAAATTTTGTCTGTGAACTAATGCTGATGCTAAATCAGTATGGGAAGACTGAAAATTAACGCGCTTGCTGCCCTGTGACGCTTACTAAAAACATTTTGAACCTCATAATCCCTGAATGGGTCAAATGTCTTAGTGCATAGGTGTGTTAGCGCTCGGTTTGAGCTGCGGTAGGATAGAGATTAACTGTGCTCTTGGTTTGTTATTTCAAATTGCTTGTGGGCACACAACCACATTGTTGCATTTTTTTTTTTTTTTAATCAAAAGGAAAGACAATACTGCTCTTTTTTTTCCTAAAAGGTCTATTTGAAGAGTGAGACTGGCAGCCTTGGGAGTTCTGGCCTTCCAAACGCTGACAGAATTTCCTGTAAGAGTTGCTTTTACAACGGCTGTTTCCTCTCAGGTTTTTATGTTGCTTTTCCTTTTTTACGTTTCTTCTCTTTGTTCTTACTCTCTCCCCACTTTTTCTCATTCATTTAACCCGGTCTGCATACTTCCAAAAAGAATTGAAGTAATAACGTAGATTTTTACAGCTAACTTTATATATCCGCAAGTTCTTCGTCAACCACCTCTTTATTTAATAGAAATAAAAATTTCTTGAGACTTGATATCATTGTGACTAGCACAATTTGGGGCAGTAAGTGTCTGGAGACTTGCACCTGATTTCGAAGCAGCAGCCGTGTAATTTTTTCACCGTCTTTCATTATGCCCACGTTCCCTAAGCCCAGGACAGTCACAAACCTTATCCACAAATATTATTCTTATTTTACAGATGGTTAACTGAAAGTTTCGTTGTGCCCATCCCACCTATCAAACAGTCCTTCCTTCCTCGCAGGCCACTCCTGCCGCGCAGGATGACTCGCTCTGCTTCATGGGACTTTCCAGTCGTAAGAATTTATGGACCAAGGTATTTTTACTGTTACTCACCCCTGTAAGCATTGCAAAGTTAGAGCTCTAAGTTACCTGGGTTATGTGCTTTTAAGATGTGGTTATTTTACACAAGGGTGCTTTTCTCTGTGTGGGAAAGGAAATGGGTTTGTGGGGAATATGCTGCAGTGCTTTGATAGAGTATTTGAGCCGGTAAGACATTAAAAGAAAAGCACGTCATGGATTTAAAGGGATATGAGATTTAATTCTGGTTTTAGTGAGATGAGTGCAGGTTTACCAAATGAAATATGACTGCATCACTCAGAGTACTTTACATATGTATATCAAAGATGAAATTGCAGTTAGGAGAATGAAGTGGATTTTGATGGCAAATATCAGCAGATATCTCTTTCTTAGGATTTCTTTATTAGAATCAGTAACCTAGAAATGATGGAAGGGCTTCACATAAACTGTTGAGGATGGTCCTACATACATACTTTAAAATGTTAGACAATGATTATTTGAAAAACTCAAGCAAATTATTGTTTTTAGGTACTGAAACAGTATCTTTAAACTCAATAATTTTGCATTAAGCTGATTTTTTTCCATTACCCATGGGAACCTCCCACACGTGGACAGACGATCCCATCACTCCACTGTGTGGGATTTGTGGCAATACCCTCTGATCCTGCTCAGAGTCCTTGCCCCCTTCTCACCTCTGTCCTAATCCTTCCCTCCCTCACATCGATCTGCTCCAAGTGGCTTCCTCCTCTCTCGTTCCTTGTTACCTGCACTGCTGTGTCCACTCTCAACTGCAGGCATCAGCTAGGCTGTTACTGAACCTGAGAAGCTCCATCAGCACGCTGTTTTCAGAACTTCCGCCTTGATGGCCTCAGCTCAGCATCACTTTCACAGCAGGTGGCTTGTTTTCAGAACAGAGGAAAACAGGGGGGGAAGTGGTGGAAATCAAACTTTCCGCTGGAGATGTATGATTCCAGCCTGAACCACACTGACGTAGTGATGACTTTCTAACGCACCCGCGTCCCTGCTGCTGGGGCTGGGGGTGCCCGGCAGACTCTTGGCACAGAGGCTATCTCATCATGGCCAGGTTAATACTCCGTTGGGGAGGCAAAAAGAGGAATCACCACACCAATGCGTAGCACCAAACATAATAATAAAACCTACCAGCAGCAGGAAAATTCCCAGGCTTGCTTATGAGCACGTGCTGTACTGACCTTGTGAACAGTCTGACACAGGCTATTAATGCAAGAAGCGAAGGGTCGGCTTGTACAGGATATGTGTGTTTACTTTAAAACAAGAAAGTGCATCTTTTTCTGAGAACAGACTGTTTTTTCTGTTCTTTCGGCCACAGGCTGCATTCAGTCTTTCTCAGAATATAACCGACACCAGTTTACAAAGCCTTTCCTTGACTCCCCTATCAATGTCTATCTCGATAAGTAGTTTCCTGTTTCCTGAGCAGGCTTCTGGAGGCACTTTCTCCTATAAAAGCAGTTTTGGCTTTACACAATTCCTGGATTTTACACAAATCTTTACACAGTTACTCAACCTGAAAAGTCACAGGGAGATCTTATGGTGCTAGCTAAAAACCATAACCCAGTCTTTGGCCATGTCTGACACAGCCGATGCCTCTAAGGAGTGCACAGATCTGGATTTAGACATGAAAAGTAACTCCCAAGTTCGTAAAAAATTAAAGAAGCCGAGGTGGCAACACGGGTCCCCTCAGACCCACTTTAAGGCCCACGCCCTCGGACAGCACGAAACCAACCGTGTTCAGAACAGCCCGGCTGCCGAAGCGTAATCAATTTTCTCGCATTTCATGAGCAACTCGATTTTTTCCCCTACGAAAAGACTTTAAAAGGAAGCAACGGGTGGCTTCTGCTGGGTTCTGACAGGTCTGAGGCGGTGACCGGGCCCGGCGCCATGGAGGGGGATTCCCGCCTGCGACAGGCAACGCCAGCGGTGCCGTGAGGGA